ACTCGGCTGAATAAACTTCTTGTCTAATAACTTCTGGAGCTGGGTGGATAACTATTTAATCTCACGAGGTGCAAGACGATAGGGTACTTTAGCTATCAGATCCACACCAAAAACTAAGTCGATCCTAAACTCCACCTGCCTCTCAGGATGCACCCCCAACAAATCCTTGGGAAACACATCTGGAAAATCTTGAATTACATGTACGTTAGTGATAGATTTCTTCTTCTTAACCTAAGTATCCACAACATCAACCAAAAATCTAGTACACCCGTGTTGTAAGTATCTCCTATCCCTTGCAGTTGAACAGGTGGTCGGTCCGCCTTATACAGCTTTGTCATTAATAACCAGTTCTCCCCCACTTGCGGTTTGAACTTGCTCTAGTTGATGCTCGCACTCGATCATAGCCCCAAACCAGATAAGCCAATCCATACCCACAATAACACGTATCTCTCCTATAGGAATATGAATGAGATTGATCAGGAACTTCACGTTGAATATCTCCAAGACATAGCCGCGATAAACCCTCGATGTTTTGACGGTACGATCATCAACAATCTTCACCACCAGAGAGTACTCTAATGCTCCCAGAGTGATAACAAAGATCTTGTAGAATGTAAGGGATACAAACTATAGACTAGCACCCGAAATCAAATAAAACAAGAGCAAGCATAACGTTGACTAGGAGAAAACCTAATAAAAAACACAATAATAAGCATATAAAAGTAAAACTGCATAAAATAAAGCAATAAATACATACTGGTAACAACATCCGGTGTTGCTCTAGTCATATCTTCTGTCAACTGGAAAGCACGAATCTTCACCATAGGAGCCTCCATTTTGACAGGAAGGCCATCAGTGATCCTTAAGGTGGCTGGAGCAGGTTCCCTCACTCCTCCACCATATAAACTCGAAAAATTGGCATTCTTGTGCCAATCTGATTGTAGTGGAAACATATCAGTGCCCCCTACTTGTAGTCTCTGCTAAAGTGCCCCATCTGTCCGCACTTGAAATAACCTGATCCAGTCGCACGAATAGCTCCCTCATGCGACCTACCATACTTGCTACATTGTCTCATACCCTACTAACACCCATAACATGAATCAGAAGCCTTAAAATTTTTAGATGGCACCACTGCAGTCAGAACCTGTGGTGTCTTCTTATTTCCATGAAGCTCAAACTCGATATCCCATTTATGTCCTACGTTAATCATCTGCTCTAGCGTCGTACAAGTCGTCGTACTGAAAAACTCCCTAATGCCAATCCTCAACATATCGTGATACCTCGTCATCTTCATCACCTAATCTACAGGTTGTTGCATACTGCAAGACTAGTAATGCCCTCTCCTTAAGCTTGGCAGTGATCTCCGTCATAGTCTTCATAGTATGTGTGAGAGTCTAGAACTCTCGAGCCAGCTGTTGAACCTCAGTCATGGATATGTACTCTACCCCGAACCTAGTAACGAAATATGCCCAAGTCATTGTCTCAATAGCCTCTTGTCCAAGAGAATGGATCACCCCACCCCACCAGTCTCGCGCTCCATCTCGCACGAGACATGCAACAAACCTGACCTTTTCCATCTCCGTGTCCTAAATCCAACATATACTCATAATGGGATCCTTCTTTCTAAAGAACTCAATAGCCCCACAAGCACGAAACTCCCGAAAACGAAATCTCACGAGTCCTTGGCTGACTAGCCCCTAGCTTAGCCTGAATGGCTGTCAGACGCTTATCAATCATAACTACTATTTTGTTCTTGATTATGTTAACCATACCCAAAAGATCCTCCAAGATAACTATCAAAACCTCTACGACAATCAAGTTGCAAATCTCAGTATCCCTTGATCCAGAACCAGAGCCTGAAACGGATTCAAAACCACCATCCCGACGAGTCATCACCATAATGAAAACACAATAACAAGTTCAAAACATAAACATAGTGTCACCACACACTATCCTCCCTCTTTCAGCTGTTTATAATTCCTCGTAATCTTCCTAATTCAAGTACCGATCATGTGCTTATGATACTACGAGTTATATAACTTTCCACACCTATCCGTACCTATTCAAAGCATAAATAACACATTTTGGAGAACCAGATACATACTTCAGTTGTTTATTTAACTCTTACACTTGTTGACATTTTGCTAAAAAAATCAAATTGATTCTTAGGTTGATTTGGAAAAACTAGCTGATAGCTAGTAGTTGGAAGTTGGTAGTAAGTAGTGAAAGTCGAAAGATGCAACTTTTAATTGTGCAAAAGTGGTTGGAAAAAGTTGTTTTTAGATTTTAAAGGTGTAAAATTAGTTAAACACAAAAGCTAACAACTCTCAAAAGCTAAAAGTTCTTACTATAGAATGAAGCTTTTTTTTTCGATCATGTTTCTTAAAACCTAAAAGTTAAACGCTCTCAAAAACTACATGCCAAACACATACTTAAACTTGTTGATATTCTCCAGAAAAATCAAATTGTATTATTGAAGATAAGTTCAGAAGACTATATAGTACTACGAAAGAACGAAGGATAAGGAGCTTGAAGAAATTATTTTCAAGTTACACAAAATGTGATGATGGATAAACATTTGTTTGAAACACTTTACGTAAATTGCTACTTAAAGCAGACAATTTGCAGATAAAAATGTTTTTTTCTCTGATTGCCCACCTTTATTTATATTTTAAGACAATTTTATAGTTTGTTTATAATGTTATATCAATATTTTCATCTTTATTGTTTGCTGGCCCCAAAAAACTTTGATTGCATTAGTAACGTTGAATGGATCACCTTCGAAAGTAAGAAAAGTGTTACTAACCACTGGCGGAACTTAGTAGGAGCTCGAGGTAGTCTATGTTATCTCAAATAATTTGGCACAGTGAAACTTTTTTGAATTTTTTTCATTATAGTGCGATTTTTTTTGTATGTTACCCCTAAAATTATATATGACCGACCTTCTACAAACTTGGGAGAGAAAAAAAAACTTTATTTTTTCTTTGTAAAAAATGCCAGAAAAACTGGCTTTTAGAAAATAAAAAAAGAACAATTGATAAGGTAAATGGAATTTATTATTTTCTTCCGATGTTAATTTATCTTTTCACCTACCTGTATCACTGCCTATCTCCATTGTTTTTGGGCACCATTGTTTTTCCCTTCACAACCAATTTTTTTTCCCAAAATCGTCTTTTCCAGCCATAAAACCTAAATATGAAATTCTAAAGTCAAAAAACATTATGTTCTAGAGCAAGGACATCACGTTGAGGAACTTGATTCCATCTTAGAAAATGATGATAGAGTACCATAGATAAATCCATCATTTCTCCTGCATATCGTTGGTGAATTCCTCCCTCCACACACGCACCGCCGATGAACGAGGCTTGTCCCCAGCTACGCTGCAACTCACAGTAATAACTATATATTTTAAATTTTAAAAAGATATTTTATATCTAGTTAACTCACGCAAGAAAATATAAAAATGAGGTAAGCAAATCAAAATCAGATGGTCACAGATTTGTTTATATCTTTATAAAAGGAATGGTCTACACCATATAAAAACTTGAGAAAATGACTTAAAAAGATAATGAAGTTTCAAAAATATACAAAAAAAAACCATTGTCTTTTTTTAGTACGCAAAATACCATTTTGCCGGCTAATGTAGGTTACCCGGTTTCCAAATGTTCAAAAAATACCATTGTTGTTTTTTTAGTACAAAAAATATCATTAATGTTACTATTTGTACACAGAATACCAACGAAATATACATGTGTTCAACTAAAACATTGTGGTAACCGGGTACTTCAGGTAAATGGAAAAATGACTTAAAAGTGTAACGAAGTTTCCAAAATGTTCAAAAAATACCACATTTTTTGTTAACTGCGTTGTTGTCAGATTATGTAGAACACCATCATCGGACATCATGACCGTTATATCAGTTCACAACAATTGTGCGATTCTCTTTCATTCCTTCACTCGATCGTTCTTGTGGTAACAAGAGAAGTAAGTAGGTAATAACCTTAGTTAAACATTCTTGCTTCCCGATCACATTATATGCCTCAAACCTAAAACATATATACGTTATATAGATGCACATATTATACATCAATGTTAGTTGTTCATTAGTGTTGCGGCACAAGAGAGACACAAAGGAGAAACAAGTGTGATGTTATGTCATGAAAATTCCTAAATATGGATTTAGATACAAACTGATCGAGGGATGAAATGAAAGAGACTACACAACTGGTGTGAATCGGTACGACGGTGACCAATCTCCGATGACTGTGTTCTATATAATCCTAAAACAACGAAGCTAACAAAAAGTGTTCTGAAAAAACAATAGTTTTTTTGAACATTTTGGAAATTTTAATGATACTTTTTGTACTAAAATATGTACTTCGTTGGTATGTTGTGTATAAATGATATACTTCAAGGGTATTTTTTATACTAAAAAAATAATGGTATTTTTTGTACATTTTTGAAACTTTGTTACCTTTACCTGAGATAATCGGTTACCACAAGGTTTTATTTGAACACATGTGTACTTCGTTAGTATTTTGTGTACAAAAAATATATTTTAATGGTATTTTGTGTACTAGAAAAAACAGTGGTCTTTTTTGTATATTTTTTAAACTTCATTACCTTTTTAAATTATTTTCCCTAAAAACTTCTATTACCATCTTTTCGTAATTAATTTAAATCTACGTAAAAATTCTTTTAAAACACAAGCTTTTAAAACATAAGTTTTGACTTTTAAGCGTTGAAACACGCAATGAGATGGTACCTTCCCCAAGAGAGTCTGATGAGCAACATTTGACTTCTTGAACTTTATAATTTGACATACTTGATACTTCTTTTCTTTATAATATAACGTGTATACTATATTTTATATAAATTAAATAAATTGTTTTCTTAATCACATAATTTATTCATGAAAATATATTTTCCAAGATGTAAACATATTTTACTTAATGTTACACTCAATCGTCAAATATATCATTAAAAAGCTTATATGTCAATCACTCATAACAATTTTTTTTGTACGAATCGGACTTGAATGTTTTTATATCTTGAATGAAGGCATTTAAATTGGAGTATGATGATCCATCTTCTTCAACAGCTGCCGTCGCCTTTTCTTTCAGCACCTGAGCTCGCCTTCTCATTTCATCTCCTTCTTCACCACCCATCACCCTCGCCACCGCTTTCTCAATCGCCACCCTCTCCACACCGTCGCAGCTTGTAGTCGGACTCCACTCGACGTCCCCAATCGAAACCCCAATTTTCAAAGCATCTGTCACCAGTTTCGCATTATAGAACTGCTCCGCCATCACCGGCCAAGCCACCATAGCCACACCACCGGTGACACCCTCCAACACGGAGTTCCACCCACAGTGGGTAACGAACCCGCCGACAGATTCATGGTCAAGAATCAAAACTTGAGGCGCCCACCCTTTAATTATCAACCCTTTTCCGTTCGCCGCCGTCCTTTCTTGAAATCCTTCCGGCAACCACTGTTCGTGTTCGTTCTTGATGACCCAAATGAAATATTCGTTGCATGCTTCAAGCCCCATAGCGATCTCGTAAACTTGAGAGCGAGTAACTTTCACAATCGTTCCAAAGCTTACGTAAACAACTGAATCCGGTGCTTTGGATTCCATCCATTTCAGACATTCGTGTTCATCAATGGCTGATTTCTTCCCTCTTTCGGATTTATCTTCTGTGTTCTTGTTACATAACGAAACTGGTCCTATATGCCATCCTTTCCTGTTCATTACCTCACGATAATGGTGGACGTACTCCGGCTCAAGCTCATAGAAGCTGTTAAAAATCACTCCATAGCTCTTCACCTCTGCTTCCATGGCTTCAATCAACACCTTCAGGAAACCTTTAAAGGCTACTGACTCAAAATGAGGCAGTTGCTTTCTAGTTAGCTTTATCTCATGGGGAAGATGAGGGACGATAAAAAGCTCCGAATCAGATTGAACATTTTTTGCATGGTCAATTAGTCCCACCGCGTTTGCAACACACTGTGAGAAGAACCCAGTTCCATTGAAAACGATTCTGGGGATGTTGAATTTGGCTGCGATTTCAGTACTCCATGGATAAAACATGTCTGCAACGATGCAATTCGGGTGGGATTCTCGAATAAATTGCTCGACGGGCTCCTGAAGCATTGAAATGGCTTCGAAAAAAGTGGATAAGAACTCATCAGAAACGGGTTGATCGGGGTTGTCACTTCCGGCCGGTAAACCCAGTTCTGCGTCTTTGAATTGAATGATATGGAGCTCCATTTGGTGATCGTAGTTGATGGTTTTTTGGATTGATCGAGAGAAGCGAGGTGCGTTTGTTGGGGTGGTGATAATGGTGGTTTTTAGGCCGCGGGAGGCCAAGAGTACAGCCATGTCGGCCATCGGAATCGTGTGGCCGTAAGCCATGAAAGGGAAGAAGACTATATGACAGTTGGCCATCGCTGAATCTCTGTTGTGTTATCTATTAGGGATGTTAATAGAAGACACGTTCAAATGAAAAACGTTTCCTTTTATAAGGAAATCTTTTTATTTATCTTTTATATTTGAACTTTCAAGAAATTATATTCACCCCAGTTTTTGTGCATAGATCCTGGTCAATATTGGCGTTTTCTTATAATCCTTTGGCATATCCTCACCCATAAAATCCGCGATCATCGTCTACAAATTTTATTTGTTTTCATATCTTAAATTTGATAAGAGCGTTATATTTATACATTATACACGTATATATAAAATATCATAATTAATCCTGGTAAATCATATCTATTAGAGTTTGTATAAGTTGATATTGCAGTTTTTTGTGTGAGAATAATAATTTACTAATTTATTTGCAATACAGTTCAAAATATAATAGCATCGTGTTTTGTTTTTTTAAGGGGCAAGACTTTATTAAAAAACAACAAAAAGCTGGAATTAGCTACAGTCCATTGGGTTATCAACCCATGAGTCCCAAAACAAAGATCTCCCCATCTAGCTCTATTTTTAAGCCAAAAAAAAAAAAAAAAAAAAAAAAAAAAAAAAAAAAAAAAACCTAAAGCTTTGACATCAGAAGCAAGAAGAGATGAGTTTTTTACTTTGCTATTAAAGATCAAACTCTTCTTGTTCGTCCATATTACCCATAAGAAGGTCTTAGAGATCGCGTCCATGATATATTTCTTTTTGTTGTTTTTTTGTGGATTGAGTTAATTCCAATGATGTTGTCCAAAGAGTCATTGTCAATGGGAGTATCATTCCACCAAACTCGTAGAAGTGCTCCCAACTCCTTAGTTGTTGAACAATCTTTAAATATATGATCTTCGTTCTCCTCAAAAGCGTTACACATCGGGCATAACATGTTTGGAATACCCCACCCCCCTCTGAGCAAGGTTAGCTCTCGTCGGTAGTCTACCAAGTCTCGCATGCCATATGAATATATTGATTTTCCCAGGAACAATGTTAGTCTAAATTGTTTTTGTCAATTTATTTTCTAAGGGAATATACATTGAAATCGACACTAGCATCAAGACTCTAGCACCACTTACTACCATTGGAATTACCCCAGAATTGTTGCTTCTTTAGAAAAGTGTATTAAGATCAATATTCAAAGGCTCTAGATCCTTACACACGTTGCTTATTCTTCCCCAAACTATATTCCTTTTCCATAACGGTATTGTCACTCCTAACCCCCCGTGATCCCCATAATTGCAAGTAATAACCTTTTTCCAAATTCCTTATGTATCATCTTTATAGTGTCACCACCACTTTATGATAAGAGCAAGGTTAAACACTTGTAAGCTTCCAATCTCTAAGCCCCCTACAGCTTTGTAGTTCATGGCTTTCAAACAGGAAATCCAGGTGATCTTTTTTTGATCCGAGGAAGTACCCCATAAGAACCTGTTACGAATACTTTCAAGCTTTGAAATTACTTTTGGGGGACTTTATAAAGCGAAAAGAGAAATGTTCCAAGACTGCCAAGAACGGACCTTATCAAGGTTAGTCTCCCTCATATGGATAGAGTTCTCTCTTTCCACATTGAAAGTTTTTTTTGGAACTTGTCAATAAGAGGAACCCAAGTCGACATATTAGAAGACTTCCCACCCACTGGCAAACCAGGATAAGAGAAGAGAAGTTCACCTTCATGACACTTCAATGAACGAGCCATAGAAGATACCTTAATTCTAGAAACTTCAATACCTAAAATCTTGCTCTTCTAAGGGTTTAGACCAGACGCAAGGTGAAAGCAAGTTAGGAAAAATAAATGTGTTACATCATACGTTTTCTAAAGTAGCATAATTATTAGCATCATAATAAAATTTTATTTCAAAGGTTGCACTCTCGGTCTATTTTTTTATAAGCATATCGTTCCTAAAGTTGTAAGGTATAATCTAACACCACTAAACCAAAAATCATGACCACCTCCCTAGCATTTATTGATAGTTTTATTTTATTTACTTCTTTTTATATTTTATTTTAGCATATTTCATTCATAATTTAGATAATTTCCATGCATATTTTCCTTTTTGTTATTTTATGACTATTTCGGGTAATTTCTAGTTTCGTGAGCTTTATTGCAGATTTCATGGAGACTAGTGGAGCGGGAATGTTCGGGACGTATGGAAAGCGATGGGAATTGGTGGACAACAAGGATCTTGGGCTTGATGGCTAGTAGAATTGATTCATGGAGTGTGCTAGTGGCTATGGGGCTTGAAGGAAATAAACCTTGAATTTAGAAGAAATTGGTGAATTTGCGAGCATGCAGAGACTTTTAATCGGGCGAGTACGTGATCTATGGATGATTTGGGGAAGTCACATTAGGCTTAAAATGAAGAAAACATGAAGAATTTTGGACTACAAGCTTAGTGGACTCGAACTGGGCCAGTGGGCTAAATCAATGGAAGCCCAAATCACAAATGATCACTCAGCACGTGGGTCACGCAAGGCCCTGCATGGGCATTTTCAGAATTTTATTTGGAATGCCATTTGAGGAAGGTTGGTGCCTATCTTTTAGAGACTCTTGCACATCCGAAAAATCAACATTTCTCTGGAGATTTTGGAGCATTTTGAAGACCAAGAACACCTCAAGAACATCATATTTTCATTTCTTAATCTTGTTAAATGTTTGGTACAATCTTTTCTCACTTTAGTTTCTTGATTTTAGCCATGCTAGGCTAAACAAAATTTGGTTGACTTTTATGGAATCCTTTGAATTTTTGTTGAATGTTGAAGACTTCATGAACTTGTTCTTGAATCCTTATGGGAATGTTTTGTGTTTTAACATCTTATCACTACTTGTATGTTTTTATTCATGAGTTTAAATGTGTTTGTGGTGATTAGTTGGCTAATTTCTTGATTAAGTAAAGGATCCTCAAATTAGCAAGCAACAAGTGATTTTTGTGTTAGTTTTACTTCACACAATCATAAAAACATTTTCTCCAACATCGTAGTGAAAGCACTTGACTCCTCTTGGATTTGGTAACTTTTTGGTTCTTAATGCTAGTTGATTTTCACTAATTACATGCTTAATGGAAATTGTGACTTTGACTAAGGAAATTGTTATGAGCTTCTCTAACTATTTTAACAACTAAGAAAAGTCTAGGTAATCTCAAGCTTCTTGGATTACTATAGCCAAATTAAGGGTTCAAAACAAGTATTGCACCATTGGATTCTAATGATATGTTCATCAAAAATCAAAGTGAGGAAACCTTAAGTCAACCATTTCCCTCTTATTGATTTTACACTAAACTCTTATTTTTGTTGAATTATCCATTTAAATCTTATTGTAATCCTAGTTTTATTTCAAGTATTTAAAAAGATCAAAACCCCCATTTTTATTTTTATTGTCATTTTACAAATACTTTTGCAAAGAGATTTTTCATAGAGTTGTGAAATTGAACCAATCTCCGCGGATTCGAACCCTGTACCACTATACACTATTTTAGTGTAAAAGATTTAGGGTTATTAATTTTGTTGGCCTCGACAACCACCAAGTTTTGGCGCCGTTGTCGGGGATTGGTTTATTTTTAATCAATTTGTTTCTCTATGCCCAGATCTCAACGTATAGGTGCTTTGATTTATAATCCGGAAATTTAAAAAGAAGCAAGGCGTTTGGCGAAGGAAAAGAGAATAGAACGTCGTCAAACTTCAAATCCTCATGGGCACCCGGAGGTTGAAACCGCTTCATCAAGTGACACTGAACCTGATTCTAGTCCCGATCATCGCCAAGAAATTCCCGAAACACTACCCCTACAACAAAATCCACCCATCATAAACCCAATAGAAATGGGGGACGGAGGAGAAGATCGCGAAAGAACCTTGAGGCAAATGATGGAAACCGATGTTACACAAACTCCATTTGGTATCAATTATCCCGTTTTGGAAGGAGATTCGGAATTGAAGTCAAGTTTAGTTCATCACCTTCCAACTTTTCATGGATTAGAAAATAAAGACCCTCATAAGCACTTAAAGATGTTCCACATTATTTGCACTAGCATGAAGCCACAAGGGTCAACCGATGACCAAATCAAGTTAAGGGCATTCCCCTTTTCATTGGCCGATAGAGCAAAGGATTGGTTATTCTATCTTCACCGGGGTCAATCAATTCATGGACCGATATGGCAAGAGCTTTTATTAACAAGTTCTATCCCGCTTCAAGAGTCTCAAGTCTTAGAAATGAGATTTGTGGAATCCGCCAAGGTCAAAATGAGACTTTCCATGATTATTGGGAGAGGTTCAACAACTTGTGCTATAGTTGTCCACAACATCAAATTCCGGAACAACTCCTCATTCAACACTTCTATGAGGGATTGTTGCCAATGGAAAGAATACTAGTTGATGCCTCAAGTGGTGGGGATGTCTTTAGCAAAACTCCACAACAAACAAGACAACTCTTCAACACCATAACCGAGAATTCCCAACACTTTGGCTCGTTCCAAGAGATGAAAAGAGACACACAACACAAAGTCAACGAAGTGGTGACATTAAACCTCGAGTCTCAAATCAAATATTTAACATCCGTTGTTCAAAAGCTAGCCATGGGACAAACTCTACAAGTGATGGTTTGTGGAATATGTGCAACATTGGAACATCCTACGGATATGTTGTTGGATTAGGTGTCTAAGCCCATAACTATAATTGGTATGTACTTGACCCGATAGTAGCATGGTCCATTTTGGGTTGCCTTCATCTCAACAATTTGATAGGATGGATATTTGAGAGAAAGAGGTTATTTGTGATTTGTTAATATATTATAAGAATAATATATTAATTGAGAAATCATATTATTTAATTAGTATTGATCAAGAATTAATTTGGAATTAATTTAGTGATCAAAAGAGACTAATTAAATTAACGGGGACTAATTATGTAAATCAGTGATACATATGGTTTGGGCTAATGATCCATGATTAATTTGAGATGGGCTAAGTTTATGTGTGAGTCCATGAAGAGTTAGTCCATATGAG